ACCTTGGTAACCAGGCGTTGGAAGCGAGTTGGGAACGACGAGGCTGATATCAAATCTAACCAGATTCCCACCCGAATCACCAAAAAGTTAGAACGTCACATTTGGGTGCCGCGACCGATACCAAGCCAGTTGGTCGTCACAGGACGAGACAACACGACTGACGCGACAGGCGGACGTCACGTTCGGAGCAGCGACACCCGAACGGAGCAGCGAGGAGCGAACAGCTGGCGCCGCGGCGAGGACGTCACAATTGGTGCTGTTTGGGGACGTCACAACTGGTGCCGTGGTAGATCAGGATAGAACGTCACAGTTGGCGCTGCGACCGGGGGACGACGTCACAGATATAAGAGACCCGGATATAAGCGAAACCCGGATATAAGAGAGATTTTCTCTGGTCCCAAATTAGAGCCTTTGTTAATGTATATAAAATAGACCAAACCCGGATATAAGAGAAACCCGGATATAAGAGAAACCCGGATATAAGAGAAACCCGGATATAAGAGACTTCTTCTCCGGTCACGACAACTCTCTTATATCCGGGTTACACTGTAAAATGTTTCGCTTCGTTTAATAGCGTATTTTCCCAATGTCTTTCTCCGTCGTTTTTCTTTTTGAATTCCAATCGCCTCTCTATCTCTTGGCAACCCATGTAGGAGAAGGAAAACTCCGAACAACAACCTCAACATGTTAATCGTGCCAAGGATTAAATGGCTGCTGCGTTTTGAAGTCTCGAACGATCCCCTACAAGAATACTGTCTGTAAAAGTTGCCCAATGTGCTCGACGTTTTTGGGTGGATATTTGGACACGTGCGTCACTCGTATGAACAATATGAGAACTAAAAGTCAAATCCCAATGATGGCTCTGCGAATTAGATTCACAACCATTCATTTAAAGAAAGAACAGGTAAAATGGTCTCTAGAGGAGTACAAACTCATTATAACTGCATTCTATGAAGAGTTGCACAAATCTCAGAAGACGATCACTCGCCAAACATATTGCATTTGACAAGAAAAGGTTGGACAAACAATTAGAAAATGTATTGACGAAAATAAATTATCCACTATAAGAAGTTACATCATGAGAAATAAACGATTGAGAGATGATGAGATTAAAGAAACAAAGAAGAACTACAACTACGTAGGTGAATCAACAGAAAATTACAAGGAACCAGAAATGGACATAAAAAAGTACTAACATCACACAAACCAAAGATCATAATGAAGAAACTGAGATACACACCAATCACTGTGAATATAATGCAGAATTTTTAGAAGAGTTGGAAAGTCGTGATCTTATTCGCTCACAAGCCTACAATAAAACAGATTTAACCGAAATATTTTACGGAAAACAAGAATAGAAAACAAGAAGCCAAGGAAGAAATCATGAGACATATAAGCCAGACAAAAAATATTGAAATGGAGAAACTCCCAAAATTACAACCAACAAAGCAGAACTTCAAATTAAACACTGAAATTAATTTCTCGATGAAGTAGACCTACATATAAGCCTCAACGAAGAAATATATACGTCAGCAATAACAGCAGGTAAAACATCAAGGTAAAAAAGCAGACTTACAGACATGAAGATTCAACGGGGAAAAGAAAAATAGAGAAAGAAATTGACAACTTAGAAATGAATTATACTTGATGAATTAACAAGAGGAACAAATGTAAGGACAAGAAAAGCAGAAAAGTCAAAAGCAAATACAAAATTAGGAAAGAAAATGAAGTTCTACAGCTAAAGAAAAAACAAAGCAAACAATTCAACTGAAGGCTCAAAGATTCAGATACTATGAAAAAAGATCAAAATTCTTCAGATAGAACAAGATCTCTCAAACCGACGCGAATAAATTTTACAGAGAAATAGGCAAACAAAATTTGAAGTGACACCGTCGCCCCAAAAATGGAAGAGGTTATACAGTCATGATGAAAATATAGGCATTCCCTGACGGCCATAATAAAAAAGCAGAATGGATTACCCTAGAGCTAGAACGGATGGAAAATAAACAAAGAATACTTGGGTAGTAATCACACAAGACGATGTTGAATGTGCATTGAAAAAAGGACACAACTGGAAATTACCAGGAATAGACAAAATTCCAATATTTTGGCTCTTTTATCTAAATACAGCATACAAAAACTAGCCAAAGAAGTACAAGAAATGATCAATGATCCTACTAAAATTCCGCCATAAGTAGCCAAAGGAATTACCTTCTTTCTACCCAAGAATGGTGACACAAATGCCGCAAATGACTACAGACCGTGTCTTCCCACTACTTACAAACTGTTGACGTCTATTCTGACAAAACAGATATATTCTTAGAAAAAAAATGACATACTATCTCTTGAAAAAAAAGGGTGCAAATGTGGCTCTTACGCCTGTAAAGACCAATTACTGATTAACAGCATGATCTTTGAAAACTGCTTCAGTCCAAAGAAAATTCTCAGTACTGCCTGGATAGATTATCGAAGGCGATCTATAGTGTACCCTATTCTTGGATTTTAAAGGTATCACACGTCGTCATCAATCTAATTGAAAAATTTATATCAATATGGATAACAATTCTTCACCTCAATTATATTAATGGAGTCTATACGTCTTCTGAAATAAACAATAGAGGAATATTTCAAAGTGGCTCTTTGTCTCTTTACTATTTTGTTTGTCCCTAATAGCATTAAACAGCGAAGTTATCGGAATGGAATAAGATATCGTAAAAGAAAACATGTCATCTATTTTACATGGATGACTTAAAATTGTGTACTAGGAATGACAGTGAGATGGAAGGTCTCCTGAAAACAGTAAAGTTTTTCAGTGATGACAATGGAATGCAATTCGTTTTGGATAAATGTGCTAAAGCCACAATTTTACGAGGACCGATACAACAGACCTCCTAGCACAGAGCCTGGGGATAACAATCAAATATTTAGAGCAAGATAAGTACGTCGGTGTAAATGATGGTGGTGGAATCCACCATAAAAAAATGAAAGAAATAGTGCGAAAAGAGTACTATAAATGACTGATATTAAAAACTGAATTGAATTCTCAGAACAGAGTTTTGGCTATTAATAGGCTTGCCATCTCAGTGGTTCAGTATAGTTCCAATATCTTTTTTTTAAGCATTTCATCCCAAGCACGGCGGCAAGCCACTAGCACGCAAGGGGTTACAGAGTTGGAGCGAGAGCAAAGAGGTATGATAGAGGAGAGGATGAAGAGAAGGTTAGGGGATAGATCAGAGCATCAGGAGACGTCGATTGACATTACATTTAAATAGTTGGAGATTATAGCTATCAGGGAAACAAAAAATGGGGAGGGACTTCCACAGGCGAGAAGTGCGAGACATGAAGCTATAGGAGTAGAAGAGACGGCTACATTTAACAGTTTCGACAGTGAAAGGGTGAGTGAAAGGGTGTTAAATGCACCCGTCTCTTCTACTCCAGTAGCTTCATGTCTTGAATTGGACTCTAAATGATATTAGAATAATGGATTCCAAGACAAGAAAGCTTCTTTCTATGCATGACATGCATCATCCAAATGAAATCCAACCCAGTAAAAAGGTGGACGAGTTCTTATTCAAGTAGAATTCTCATACAAGACAACAATTATTGGTTTACTAACAAACATGTTTTTTTTTATGTTGTTTGACTACAATTAGTCAAAAAACAGAAAAACTGAAAGAAAAATATTCATCGATGAAAGAAGGTTGTAAATACAAACGAGATTTACACTAAGTAGATTCTATAGAAAATCAAAACAAAAAAAACAACTTTTGCAACAATGATTATGAAAAAGAAAACCAAGGATAAATCCTTTGAACAGATGAACCGACGTTGGCAAGACAAACCTCTGCAAAACGTGCTAATTAACCCGATATTGATAAAGTTAATACTCATTAATTGTTACGAACATTTGATTTAAGGCTGTAACGAAAGGATTTATTCTTGCAGCGCAAGACCAGAGTATTTTTGCTAGAAACTTTCAGGCAAATATCACACAAAATAGTGTGGATCCAAAATGCAAGTTCTGTGACCAATATCAGAAAACCATAGACCATCTAACTCAGGATATTCTGAACTTGTGCTAAATAAATATAAAAATTCTCACGATAGAATGGGGCAATATTTACACTGAACAATGTGCAAACATTTTGGAAAAGATGTTAATAAACACTGGTGTGAACAATAAGCATCACCGGTTATAATAGAAATAGAAAGCATCACAATTCTATGGGAAAGCACCATCTTTATAGACAGGAAGATTAAAGCAAATAGGTCTGGCATAATTGTCAAAAACCGAAGGAATCTTGACTACTAATTGATATGTGGCTTGCCCAGCGGACTGACATATAGTCATCATGGCATTTGAAAAATTACCCAAGTATAAGAACCCGGAAGTCGAAATAAAAATATCTGAAAGTTGAAATCAAAAATAGTACTATTTATAGTAGATGCGCTTAGAATGATCAAAACAGGAAGACAACATATTGAAAAATCCCTGGAAATCCTAGCTTAAGAAATATGCAAAAAATGCTTTGATAATCATGTATAGCTGGCCACCCGTATTCGAGTCTACCCGTCTACCAGGGCGGCTAGACAGTCCCTATTGCAGATGCTTGCTCAGACGCATTTGTGTTAATTCAAAACCCACAGAGCCAACCTGTGGTTTATACGGCAACTATGCCGAGCAAACACTAGTTAGAGTTTCTGGGAAAGAGAATGTTATCTAGCATGATCAACAATTTGATCAAGGCCAGCACACTCATTTGAATTTGTTTATTTTAACCTAAGTGTCTACGAAAATCCGAGTAGGAAGATAAATCATTGAAGTTTTATTTAAGAAAAATTGTCTTACATAAAAAAGATGTATTTTCCTACACCTCTTACATTCTTATTGTTGTTTCACTTGAAAAATGCGGCCATTAACAACAGCAGCTAAAAACTCATCGATATGTGTAAAGTATGAACGAAAAAATGTCTAAAATATGATTTACCGCGAATTTCCTCTAACGTAGATAGATAGATAGATAGATAGATCTGAACGCACCTAAATAGTTAGATCTGAACATACTTAAAGAGAGAAATCTGAACATAGATGCATATATCTGAACATATATCTAAATAGATCTGAACAGAGATAGATCTGAACAAGGATCTGAACAGATTAAAGAGATAGATCTGAAGATAGATGCATATCTGAACAGAGATAGATCTGAACTGAGATAGATAGATAGATAGATAGATAGATAGATAGATAGATAGAGACCGATAGCTATAAAGAGACTGAGATAGATAGATAGATAGATAGATAGATAGATAGATAGATAGATAGATAGAGACCGATAGCTATAAAGAGACTGAGATAGATAGATAGATAGATAGATAGATAGATAGATAGATAGATAGATAGATAGAGACCGATAGCTATAAAGAGACTGAGATAGATAGATAGATAGATAGATAGATAGATAGATAGATACCGATAGCTATAAAGAGACTGAGATAGATAGATAGATAGATAGATAGATAGATAGATAGATAGATAGATAGAGACCGATAGCTATAAAGAGACTGAGATAGATAGATAGATAGATAGATAGATAGATAGAGACCGATAGCTATAAAGAGACTGAGATAGATAGATAGATAGATAGATAGATAGATAGAGACCGATAGCTATAAAGAGACTGAGATAGATAGATAGATAGATAGATAGATAAGACTGATAGCTATAAAGAGACTGAGATAGATAGATAGATAGATAGATAGATAGATAGATAGATAGATAGATAAGACTGATAGCTATAAAAAGACTGAGATAGATAGATAGATAGATAGATAGATAGATAGATAGATAGATAGAGACCGATAGCTATAAAGAGACTGAGATAGATAGATAGATAGATAGATAGATAGATAGATAGATAGATAGAGACCGATAGCTATAAAGAGACTGAGATAGATAGATAAATAGATAGATAGATAGATAAGACTGATAGATAAAAAGATGAGATAGATAGATAGATAGATAGATAGATAGATAGATAGATAGAGACCGATAGCTATAAAAAGACTGAGATAGATAGATAGATAGATAGATAGATAGATAGATAGATAGATAGATAGATAGAGAGAGACTGATAGCTATAAAGAGACTGAGATAGATAGATAGATAGATAGATAGATAGATAGATAGATAGAGACCGATAGCTATAAAGAGACTGAGATAGATAGATAGATAGATAGATAGATAGATAGATAGATAGATAGATAAGACTGATAGCTATAAAAAGACTGAGATAGATAGATAGATAGATAGATAGATAGATAGATAGATAGATAGATAGATAAGAATGATAGAAAAAAGACTGAGATAGATAGATAGATAGATAGAAGAGAGATAGATAGATAGAGACCGATAGCTATAAAGAGACTGAGATAGATAGATAGATAGATAGATAGATAGATAGAAAGAGAAAGCTATAAAGAGACTGAGATAGATAGATAGATAGATAGATAGATAGATAGATAGATCGTCAGTTAAATGCACATTCTTGTTTATACACGTTCATATTGATATGAATACATTCTAAATATTTTACATCATGCGTATGCACATATCTAAATGGGTATGCTTGGGTATATCTCTGTGTTTGTGAAGTGTATAATTACATGCGTGCGAGACAATATTAGATCCAGACTATCTGGATGCAAATTGCACTCTTCTATTAACTCAACTTAATTGCATAGACTAGACGCCTTTATTCATTCGTACTCAGTCGTGTCATTTCCCTTTCGCTGCTTTTCAATTCAGATTCAATTTATTCATTCCATCTATAAACTTCGGGTCTTCGGTGTTGTGATGATCATTGGCTTCGTAAGAACTCCACTCTGACGATTCTTACCATTATGTCTTTCATAGTGAATCTCTGTAAAATCACTTAATGGCATTCAGTCAATTTGGCCCAGTCTCTCAACCACTCTCATTCTTATTTCTTCTTTTTTCTTACAGTTGTGCAAAACTAATCTAGCCATTTATTGATAAAAAAAAAAAAAGATATCGTGTTTAAGACAATCAAGACTTAGTTTTTTTCGGTGATACGTAATTTGCGTAAATTAGATCGTCTTAATGTATGTTTTGTTTTTTAAAGTATTTTGGATATTGAGGGAATGTCGCAAGTTTTTCTTTGTCTCGTTGAAATTGTTTCTTTGTCTTAAATTTGTTTCCATTCGACAAATAAATAATTTCTGTTGTTTCTTTTTAAAGTATAAAGTCTAAATGAAAGTATTCCATCTTTTCAAGGTATTTGAAGAAGGACAATGAAGCTTTGCATTTTTCAGATAAAATGGCGTCAGAAGGTTTTTCTCGTCTGAATTCATCCTTCACATCTACAAATCTATCATTCCTCCTTGCATTGAATATTGCTGCCATATATAATCTTGTGCTCCCGATGTTCATCTCGAGGTTCTCGACTAAATCGAAAGACAGATATGCAATATAATAGGTCCTGACCTTGCATCTCGACTCCAGTCACTTTCTCATATTTTCATGGCAACTGCTCTGGCGATTTTTTTTTTTTTTTTTTTTTTTTACTGGTGCCCTAAATGCTTTAATTTAAGCTTGCTACTAGGTTGGCATCTCGGTCTCACACTTTCATTGTCGAAACGGTTAAATGTAACCGCTTCCTCCACTCCAACAACTTCTCCTCTTGCACTTCCTGACAGTGGAACTCCCTCCCTCTTACTTGCTTCCTTGATAACTATAATCTTCAAAAATTTAAATGTGTTGTCAATCAACATCTTCTGATGACTTGATCTTGATACCCGTCCTTCTCTTAATCCTTTCCTCAAACACACCTCTTTAATCTTACTTTCGCTCACTGTAACCCCTTCCTTGCTAGTGGCATTCCCACTTTGCCTGCATTTAAGAGGGAAAAGGAAGTTATATTTGTCGGATCAATTTTTACGCGCGGGCGTGTGTGTGTATCTGTATTTCTTCTACTTAAGTTTTGGTAAAACATAGTTGATAATTATAAAATAAACTGCCGGCTAAATGCATGCCAATTAAAATGGTCTCATTTAATGAGAAATATTGGGAGTAAACATGATTTGATTGAAGTGATTAATCTGTTGTTTTACGATCTATCGACCATTTGCAGATTAATTAAAGTCAGGAAATAATTTGAGATTGTAAAAATTTTTTGGTGATAATAACAATTAAGTAAGCGGCTGGGATTGAGGAATCGGAGAGCCGAGTTCAAATTCCAGTGAAATCCATTACATTCACTTACGTGCTAATACCCTTGGGAACGGTATGAATCCTCTTCTCCCCCCATCCCACAGCTATGGGTAAATAGCAGGAGAGACCGGTTCTATAGCCTTGGATGGCAACAGGTCTACCGCAGAAAGAAATGGCAACCTACTGCGGGAAAAAATATGCTTCGTCAGTCATGATTTTTTTTTTTTTAGCTTGTGTTAATGGATAGCGGCTCGAACCGCAGAAAGAAATGACAACCTACTGTGGGAAAACATCTGCCTCGTCAGTCATGTATGGCGTAAGCGTGTATCATGCATGTCACATATGTGACTGAAGATAATGGTAAAAACAAAGATGAATTAATCTGTAAACTTTTTTTTTCCATATAAATTTGATTCTATTGGAATAAATGAATGATCCGAAGCATATACTCAAGATATGTCAGGTTTTCGTGAAACGACAAAAGCTAACCAGTCCAGAAAAATAGTTTTGAAAGATGTTCTTGTTCAAAGCCCTTAAATTCCCTTTCCTTTCGTTTCTGCTTATTACACGAAATACTATTTCCCACATGAAATATCAACCTAACTTGTCACACTTTGTTGGCAACATTATTGAAACGTATTACGTACTTCCTAACTAATCTAATATGTTTGTTATTCGTAAAGGTTCAGCATCAGTCTATGAATGTCATTATATTTTATATTCCAAATATATATAAATAAATAAATACTTTCATAAAAAAACATTATTATTTTTTTAATTTGCAACTTTTATATATATATATATATATATATATATATATATTGGATGGCAACTGGTCTAGGAGAAGGCCAATCTGAATTCAAAACATGCAGACGGTTGTTTGGGGACCTTCAGACACGTCCCTTCAACAAATGTTGGTTCTGCACAAAGCCTTCACCACTATAATCAAATCATATGTGCTGGTGTCTGTAAGTCTTAATAACAAAACAAAATGTCCTTCGCAAGTGGAAGAATTTAGAAAACGCTATTATATTCATATTGCCAGCTGTTGACAATATGAATATAATAGCGTTTTCTAAATTCTTCCAGTTGCTAAGGACATTTTGTTTTGTTTTGTTCTTATTAGTTACTTTGTTTTAATAAATTCATTTCGTTTTTGCCTTGAAAAAGTCCACATTCGACGTAACGCGTCGGTTAATATTACAGTTTTCCTATTGTCTTTTACATTTATAAATATTGTCTTTTTCTACAGGTTAACTCTGATATATATACTAATGTCTTTAATAAATAAATTGTTGGACGTTGTCCATTTCTTAATATATGACGTCATTTGTTTACATTTGATACGCCAGAGCAGTTATGAATGTACGAGATTCAAAGAAGATTGAAGTTTATAAGCAGTAAATTCGACCTTGCTCCTTTGTGGCCGAGACGGTAAGGCACGTCAGCGTAAATGACGGTTCCGTATAGGACGCAGGTTCGAATCCTGTCAAAGGACGAATATTTTCTATGAAAATTTCTCGGACATTCAGGCCGGTAAATGTTATTTAATATTGTTTATTATAAACAGAGCATTTACTTAAATACTTGTATCTATAAAAAAGAACGTTAAACATAAAAAGTATATATATATATATATGTATACACAAAAAGTTTGGGATAAATAATTTGGAAATATCATGTCCATTCGTTATCGTTGTGATCCTTTCAAATTCGCGGAATAATATTTTGGTAGATTTAGAAAATTGAATAAGAAAAATATTAAATTTTTCTTTCGAATAGTTTTTATTTTCCCACGTACTTTCAATCCCATCTGAGACAATGTTCAGGGGGTTAAGTTGTCTGTAAGTATGCATATGTGTTTTCGAGAATTTAAAACATATTAATTATACGTTTTTTGTTTGTTTGTTTTTTAACTGCTTATGCAGGCTTGAAGGATTTTTAGGGTTTTTTTTTTTTTAGTTTGTTGCAGGCCCGGCAGCGTGCAGTGCTGGTTTATTACAAAGTGGCCTTGTGCCAGACACCACACTAAACTACCGAGTCCACAAGCAATGTATAAAAAAAAAATAATGCGTGAATGAACAGTGAGAGGAAAGGGGTCAATCAACAAGTGCATAAATTAATAAACATCAAAGAGATAGCCGGAATAAAATGACAAAGACGTCTGTTTGTAAAACATGTGTAACTTTTATTAGATGGAAACAAGTAGATGATCTCGTGGTACGAGATCAGGGAAAAGCTCCGCGCCTAAATAGAAATGCAAGATGAACAAGGCGGGAAAAGTTCTTGAGGAAGAAGAAAAATACTCACTGCGAGTTTTTGTTAGTGTGAGTGTAATGTTATGCATATTTTTAAGGTACTGGTTCAAAGCAGATTAGAGTCCAATGAATTGAGAGTGTATGTGACTTTGTGTTTTTTTCTTTTTTATGTTCAGGTTCAAAGTAGGGTCTCAGAGTTCGGTCAGGTCTTGAATTAACTGTTGAAAATTTTAACGGAATGCTGTGGACGTCTAGACAAAAGGACGAAGAGCTAGTTGCGGTTGGTTGCATAGTCTATGAGAAGTTAATTATGGCGAGTCCAGAAGGGACGAAGAATATCTGTTCGTCAGTAAGATATCCCTGTCTGTATTTACTATTGACTGACGAGGGATAAATATAAGTCACCTGTTGAATACGAAGTTTTGCCCACGACTGTGTCGTGTGTCTCGCACATTTTCTAGCAGAAAACGGAGAAGGTCTGACCTGCGGATAGCAAGTTGTTCGTTAATAAGATATCCCTGTCTGTATTTACGATTGGTTCACTGACGAGGGATAAGTTCTGCTTGCGACTGTGTCGCGTCTCGAACGATGTGCCTCAAACGTTTTCTGGTCGAAAACGGAGCAACTGGTTGACCTGCGGGTAACGTCAAGATGAGAAGAAATCTTGGTAAATAAGTGTGGGGTCAATATCGTTGAGATAAGATATTCCGGCCCGCATATGGGTTAAGTGCACGGAATAAATGAGTTGCCCGTCTAGTCAAGTTGAAGATCGGGAAGCAACTGGTTGACCTGCGGGTAACGTCAAGACGAGAAGTCTTGGTAAAGTGTGAGGTCGACATTGTTGAAATAAGATATTCCGGCCCGCAAATGGGTTCAGGGCACGGAATAAATGAGTTGCCCGTCTAGTTAGGTCGAAAGTCGGGAGGCAACTGGTTTGCAAACGCTGGCCGTTTGAGACGCCGAAAAACGCGCGGGAAAAAATT